TTTATTGTTTCTCTTTATTTTTTTTTAGAAATAGAATATTTAACACATTAAATTATCTTCCTTCTACAATACTTTTCTTAAAACAATTGCATGTCTTTGTTTTTTTCTTCTGAGCTGCACCAAAAAGAGCTGCTTAAAAAAATCTAAAAGTTCCGCGAAATTATGTTGGTTTTTTTAAAAGTTTTTAAGAATAAAAATTTTTTTATTAATAATTATTTTGGTGTTTCTTTTTACGAAAATTAAAAATAATTACATTTTTATAATCAATTTCTAGTAGTATGGATCCAAAATTGTACACAACTCAAACCTTTTTATCGAACTTTCGCAATAGTTTTTTAAAAATAAATAATTTTGCCTGATTTTTTTTTCAGAAACTAATTAAATACGATTATCTGATTTGTAAATTTTATATTTTTATTTAAATGCTGCACTTGTATGTGATACTTATAAACATTGTAAATCCTATAGTCATTATTAAAATTATATAAATTACACTTACAAAATAATCCCCATACAGATTTAAATTATGGAACTGAGGGAATATTTATATTACCAAACACAAAAAATATTTCTAAGTTTTAAAACAATAATTTTTTATTTTTGTCCAAATATTATGACTTTCATAAAAGCAAATGTTAATATTACGACCTGCATATTCTTGATATGAGTCAAATTTAAAGAGGGATATTAAGCTTATTGTAAGCATTGTTGTGTGTATGTGTGCGATTTATATTTCAAGGTGTTTTGGCTGGAATTAGAATACAATTTTTCGCAGCAAAACATTTAGCGTCGTTACAACAATAACATCTTTATGTACACAATACGGTAGGCATGGTATTCACAGTGCTCAAGGACGCGCGCGTACCTGAGTAATATGCAGGGTGTGGTTCTAGATTATGTAGTCAAAACAAACTTGACGAAGGACATTTATTGTATGCAGATTACTCAAAACCAAATAAATGGCGATAAGTTATTGATTATCACTTGAATCTATTAAATATATTTGAGAAAACAGAAAAAATAAAATTTCAAGATTGATTTTCACTAAAAAAAAAGTGAACCGGAAAAGGTATTTAATCTTAAGTAATATAATTACGCATTGAAACTGATAAAAATTTTGCTCCACAGCACTCTATATACGTATATATGTGGTGCCACCCAAAAAGTTTAGAGATTTTTTAAAAAAAAATATTAATGTATTGATTTCTTATATAGAGCATTTATTTGTCGGCTTTGAAATAATCACTATTTACATCAATTCGATGTCGCAAGCGTTTCTACCAATGGAAATACTCTTCGAAGTCTGCTGTAGTAAGCACCTTAACCCTTAGAACAGGGATGGCCAGACTTTTCCAGGGTACGGCTGCTTCTAATTCTTTCAAGGTGTTGCGGTCCACCCAGTATCAATGACTCACACAAGGAGGGAGGGGGAGGGAAATCCACGGGTCTGAACCCTCCCCCATAGCCCTTGATCTTTTGCGATTGATTATAGTCCTATGTATGTAGTACGATAACTTAATTAAGTATTTGTTATTAATAATTTTTTTATTAATTAATGCTGATTATTTATTCAGTAATTTTTGATTTGTTTTTGTTCCTGACAATATACAAAATAAAAAAAAATACGTTTTTCTGCATATTGTGGTATGATACGAGAATGGTAAACTTTCGATCCTTGACCTCCCCCCTTGAAAAATTCTTGTGTGAGTCAATGCCCAGTGTCGTAGGTGTGGTGAAATAGGACAATGGTCTATAATATTTATTATAACTTAATATAATAAATACGGAATATGTACTTATACCTACAGAACTAAAATAAAAAATCTAACACTTTTAAAACCACGTTTAACACAAAACGCAAGGTACAAATAATAATAATAATTGTCACAAATATAATAATGTCAAATGATGCATTTATTATCACACAAACAATTCAAAATATATAAAAAAAAATAAAAATTTTCTTCTAAAGTTAATTTTTGTTGTTATAGTCAGTAGAAGACACACTTAGTCTACATACTTCAGCCAATATTGAATATTTCCCTATATAATTACTTAACTCTAAAACCTTAAGGCGGTCACCCCAAAATGTCTTGACGATCTGCCGGTCGATCGCAATCGACGTAATGCCCACCCCGGCCTTAGAAACATGATTTTCCAAATTAAGTTTTTTTAAAAATACCAATGCATTTATTGCACTAGCTGGATAATTGGAGAAATAATAAAAGAATCACTATTTTTATTTTATATATTTATTTCGAAAAAATAGCTCAAAATACTGATAAAAATATCAATATTTTCCTCAAGTAAAACAGACCTTTGCTAAAGAAATAGCTATATTATATTAAAAATAACATACTTACCTCCTTGAAAGTATTTCTATTTTTCGGGAAAATTAAATGCGTCAAAGATTTATTCTGCTAAACTTTTTCTAAAAATATGCCATGGCGGGGAAACGTCTTATTATTTGAACAATATTGACAGCTGACGTTTACTTTTTTAACTTTTGTTCAAAAGAACATTATGCAGTGGAAATATACGTACAGCCAAATATTACAAACAAACCAATCGCAAGTGCATGATTTGATTTAAAAGTTCAGTATCATATTTGAAACTTGGGACATTTAAAGATTTAAGTACTTCTGACGATTCCCCTAAAATTTCTTCTACAGCAGCAGTTCTTAAACTGTATTCCGCGGACCCCTAGGGGTCCGCAGTGCTTTTCTAGAGTCTCTGCGGAGTCTCTCATTTAATGTAAAATTTTCCCTCTTTTACAGCCACTGAAAGGCCTCGTGTAAAAATTGAAAGATGTGCTACACTAGACCATATCACTAAATTGTCCCCAATGAAAAAACTCTACTAGAACTTGTATTTTGAGTATTTTCATACATAAAGTACCCCTTTATGTATTAGCGTGACATCGCAGACCCCCCAAATTTTTGAACATCCCTCCCCGACTTAATATTCTTGCGATGATTACGGAGGGATTGAAAGTTTTAGAAGCGCTGCTCTATAGCATTAAATCAGCTTCATCTTGATCTTTGTTTGATTTTCATCTTTAGAAACATATATAAAAAATTGCATGGCGCTAGGTCTGATAGATATGATGCGTGGTGTACAAGTGACATTCGGTTATTGTCTTAAATCTGCCTGTATGTGTGTGTGTATGACTAATTCGACCACGCGTTTAATTCGTTAAACAAAATGCTTGTACACTTGCCTCTGAAAGTCTGCGCACAGGCTATCATCTTTCATATTCATGCAAGGATCGCTAATTAAATGAAGTCTTTCTGAATCAATACTGTTTTTATTGATTCTTATAACGTCGTAAATTAAAATAGTATAATCAACAATCACCTAAATATTACATAAAATAATACAAATATTTATAACTTGAGAATGACACAAATAGTGTGCGTCAAAAGTCTGCGTACATTGGAAAAAAACCCTTTATAATAGTGGATTGTAACTAAAAGTTAATACTTTTTAAGCTATTCCGTTCTTTCTATAACTTTCTCAACATATCTGGCAGATTTGAGCATTTCCTTGGATGTATTACGTTCTCACTGAGTATTCACTCGAGTAAATCCCACAAATCCTGCATTGTGCTTAGGTCTGGGAACTAGATTGACTTTCGGAATTAGTTTGGGACATGTCAGAACAGCCATGGCTTCACAATGTGAGCCATTTGCTTGGTACCTTTGAGCACTGAAAGTAAAAATCATTACTTACCGCAAATTTCTAGGCATATGCCCTAATATTCTACTTCAATAAGTTCAAGTAACCAATTTTGTAGATTGTTGGTTTAAGAAATTCCAGATTACCAGCCGAAAGGCATCCAATGCACCCCCAAACATTAAGCCTCTTCCTCCATGTTTGATAGTCGAAAGAGGATTCTCTTTCTTAGATCTGTCCAGGAATTTTTGCAGGCATATTTTTGTGCTTTTTGATGCTAAATTGCAAATATTACTTTCAATTGAATATATTACATTTTTCTAAGACGAATGTGTCCTACTTAGGTGTTTTTTGGCAAAGGTCATTCTCTCAGCTCTGTTCATTCGAAAAATGAATGACTTCGTGAATGCAACTCAAGCACGATAGTCATCCTTTTTCAGTTTTCTTCAAATTGTAATTAAAGTCACACTTTTATGCAATATCTTAGCAACACCTTTAGCTACTTATGAAGCTTATAGTCTTGGATTTATTTTTATAGAGCGTATTACAAAGCAAGTTTCTCGAGGTGACACTTCAGACGGGCGGCCGGATCTTGGCTTGGACGTTAAAATTTTAGTTGATTTGTAGTTTATGAACACTTTTTGAATCAAAGAATGTCTCCCATTAACAATTTTAACAATTGCTTTAAAAATTTCCCCCTTTGCTGAAGATCTATGAGGATTTTTCTTTCAATAATACATCGACCTTTATTCTGTTGCCTGTCATGGAACCACAAAAGCTTTCAAATCTCAAATCCTCAATAAATCGTAAAAAAAAGGTCATAATTACTTGAAAACACCATTTAGTGTAATTATTTTACAATAAAATGTCTTTAAAAACTCTATTTTGTAAGTGCACGCAGACTTTTGGCACGGATGGTCGGTGATTATTTGGTGGTCATTCTTGTTTTTACAAGCTTTTATTTAACTTGCAGTGTAAAATGTTCGGGTGGAATTTTTCAACTCCATTTTGAAGCTGATGTCTTCAACCGATTGCGCTGAAATTTTGTACACTCGTTTAGTTTCGATCACAATGCATTTTTTAACCATTTATATTCCGATATCACAATTAGTTAAAAAGATATTAATTACAGTAATTTGTTCAGGATGAATCTTGCAACTCAATTTTGAAGCTGAAGTCTTCAACCGATTGAGCTGAAATTTTGTATACACTTTTAGTTTGAGTGACAATGCATGTTTTGACAATTTATATTCAAATATCGACCTAGTTATTGTAACGATCTTGTTCAGGTGTTAAGGCGAGAATGTTTACAATAACAAAGGTGTGGACCGGGTTCGTAGCTCAGATGGTAGAGCGCTCGCTTAGCATGCGAGAGGTACGGGGATCTATACCCCGCGCCTCCAATTATTGTTTTTTCGTGTAAAATATTTTTGAAATTGATTTGCTTTTTACAACGAGATATTTTACTATGCTTCCACTCTGCATATGTACAAAGTATGTTATATTTTTACTGTTCTAGAGAGAACACTAAGAAAGGCAGATCTGTCAAACTATTTCTATTTATTTTGAAACATTCTATGATATCTATTTACTCGATCCTAGTTTCTCCCGTAACTCTTTTAATTGACCTATAGTTACTGTAACGATCTTATTTAGGTGTTAAGGCGAGAATGTTTACAATAACAAAGGTGATGGCCGGGGGCGTAGCTCAGATGGTAGAGCGCTCGCTTAGCATGCGAGAGGTACGGGGATCGATACCCCGCGCCTCCAATTAGTATTTTTTCGTGTAAAATATTTTTGAAATTCGTTTGATTTGTTCAACTAGATATTTTACAATACTTCTACTCTGTATACGTACAAAACATGTTATATTTTGCAAGTTTTTTTTAACTTGCAATGTGTGTGTGTGTGTGTACATTGGGAATCTGGCAACTCAATTTTGAAGCTGATGTTTTCAACCGATTGAGCTGAAATTTGGTATACATGCTTGGTTTGGATGAATATGCATGTTTTGATCATTTATATTCCGATATCGCAGTTATTTAAAAAGACTAGTTGTGCACGGGCTTTCTCTACTTTTATAAATTTTCCCTTTCCTTCATAAAATTAGCACTTCTAATACTCTTTTTCAGAATGACCCACCCCCACCCCCACCCCCTCCTTCGCTTAGCCCGCTTTCTGGGGCTTTTACCGAGTGTATGACTTAAAATTCCCTGTTTCGAAATTTTTTCGCTTCTTTTCTTTGTCAGACAGCTTTATTTCCCCCCCGGTGTTACACGAAATTTTTTAAATGCATGACATATTGTCATGGAAATTCTCTTCCTCTCTCGCTATCAGAGCTCTCGAGTAAGTAAACATTAATCGTTTCTTAAGCAGCTTGACAGGCGGAGTGTTAAACAGGTAACTAAAAAGCTTGTTTGAGTATGCTGAATCGTTTACAAAGCAGGAGAAGAGGTAAACATGTCATTACGCCGTTTCCGAGGACAATATGAGCAGCTGCCGCAGTTTGAAAGGGGGAGAATCATCGGCATGTTGAAAGCTGGGTGGTCAGCTAGGCGAGTAGCTCGTCAATTAGTCCGCTCTGATTGTGTTGTGAGGAGGTGTTGGACCAGTAGATCCGAGAGATGTCATTTACACGAAGACCAGGCTCAGGATGCCCTCGACAGACCAGTCGTCGAGAAAATCATCACATCGTTAGAAATGTATGCGTACAGCCAACTGCTTCATCGACCACCATCCACGCACAGGTTGCACCGTCACTAGGGGTCCATGGATCTTCTCGAACCATACGTAGGCGCCTGGCTGAAGGACATTTGGGATCGCGGTGTCCATTACATGGGCTTCCCTTGACACGCAACCATCGAAGTCTCCGTTTCGACTGGTGCCGGGCACGAGGAAACTGGACTGCAGGTCTGCTTTAGCGGCAAATCCAGATTCAATCTCAGCAGTGATGACAATCGTGTTCGTGTGTGGAAATCCCGTGGTGAACGCCACAATCCTGCCTTCGCTTTACAGCTACACATCGTTCCCACAGTTGCTGTGATGGTATGGGGTGCCAGTGACTACAATACAGGGTCACCCCTACCATTGATCCGTGGTGACATGATAGCCCAGCGCTATGCCCATGACATCCTGCAACCACATGTGTTGCCATTCATGCAACGGCTCCCAGGAGCTATTTTTCAACAAGACACTGCTCGGCCTCAAATGGCAAGGATGTCACAAGACTATCTCCACACTGTTACTACCCTTTCTTGGCCTACCCGATCCCCAGATTTGCCTCCAATCTAGCATATGTGGGATAATTTGGGACGGTGAGTGGGGAATCCCATGACTTTGAACGAACTAGAGGCAAGGATACATCAGATATGGAATGAAATGCCTCAAGACATCATACAGAGCTTGTATGCCTCAATGCTCGATCGTATCGCGTCGTACTTTCGTTCTATAGAGAGAGTTCACACAACAGGGTATTAAATCCTCCGTTCTTTTGCCTTTTTCTCTGAAAGAATTGATCCTTTTTCTTTGATTTTCTAATCATTTACTTCTATCAAAGTTGTCATTACGTATGTAAAATTTCGTTTAATTTTGACGACTCCATCTTGGTGCGTTAATTTTTTTTGTCCATGATTGCATAATCGCACGAAAATATTTTTTCGTTTGTAGAATAGTATTTTCCAAATTCTGCACAAAAGAATTGAAAAAATTGGTTTAAAATTACGGATTTAAAAAAAATTCTCTTTTTCGTTTTTAATATAGTATTATAGTAAAAGCAAAAAAAAAAAGAGTTTTAGTATTTTAATTAATTTTGCATTGTCCAATGTTGTTTTGGTCTAACAGTGTTTATCCCCCCTTTCCATTATCCTCTTGTTGCTGCCCGAGAGAAATTTTCTATCATATTTATTTGGCTTGGCGAGAAAAAAGGTTGATTACCACTTAGTTGGACTGTTCAAAATTAACCGGTAAACGACCTTGCAACAATGATGCGTTGATGAGATTAACAGACTGAGAAACCTCTGTCCAGCGATAACTAAAAAGTAAAAAATAAATTAAAAGTAAAAAAACTTTTTTAAAAACAAGCTTTTATTTAAATGCTTTAAAAAGAATAAAGTAAACTTTTCTTTTAAAATGTTTTTTGCTATCAACTTATAAAGTCGTTGCACAATTTATGATATAAAAGCTTGTCGCGAGATTTATCTCTGTAGATAAACAAGCAAATTAAATAACTTGATCTGATTGATTTTAATTTTTAAAATTTTCAAACTAAGTAAATACGAGTACTTAAATCTCGCGACAAGCTTTTATATCATAAATTGTGTAACGACTTTATAAGTTGATAGCAAAAAACGTTTCAAAAGAAAAGTTTATTTTATTCTTTTTAGAGCATTTAAATAAAAGCTTGTTTTTAAAAAAGTTTTTTTTACTTTTAATTTATATCTATATATTTCCTATTTCATTTCAAAATTAAAATTAAAATTTCTTGTAATTAATGCTATATTACGCTTTAAGAACTCCTTTAGTTATTTTTTTTATTTATTCTTTCGTAATGAACTTTGTTTACTTCTTTCCAATGTGTGTTTTTCAACTTTTAAGTAAGACTTTCCTAATATTAAATATTTGATTTTAAGTGCAATGAAATAACTATTACTAAAAAATAATAATAAAAGTTTCTTCTTTCTCTCATAAGCAATTCAAAAACAATTATTGGCAATTCAAATCACATTTACAAAATAATTTTATTTAACTTGATTTTCGTTTAAAAAGTAAGTTTGTAACTTGAGATTCACTAATACAAAGAGGTAAAATGAATGACTCATGTGTTACGCTTCTATTTGAATTAGATTCACAAAAGATTAAATGAACAATAATTTTTTTAAAAAAAAGATCTCGAAGTTTGTAGAAAATTTTTTTAAAAGAAAAAAATTACGTGTTTCCTTCAGATTTACTTTGAAGAATAAAATAATTCGTAACCACGAAAAAAAAAATGTAAAACAATGTCTGAAAAAAAAGGAATTTTTCCTAAATGGAACTATCTAATCCAGGGGTGTCCAACAGGTGGCCTTCCGAATCTTTTTAAAAAAATTTTAAATATCAGGTTCTTAAAGTTTTTTCATTTTGAAATTTATTTAAGGGGAAATTTATATATATATATAAATCTACATTGTATTTGCCTGTTAATTGTTCTTGTTTTAAAATAAATCCTTTTTGATATAATAGAAAGGTCTTTTAGATTAAGATAGACTTATATTTTAGCAAACAGTTACGTTTGATTTTAAAGTAATAAATTACTTTTAAAATAAATTCCGAATTGCATTATGCATATCCTTTACTATGGATGATACATGATTCTCTGTGTGTGCGACTTTCATTTTTCCTCCTCCTTTTCTGTTTGGGGTGCCCAAAAAGCATGAGGCAGTCAGAGATGTTTTTTAAAGTTTAAAAAATTATTCAGGACGGTTAAGATAAAAGACAATGTATATACTTAATCGGTTGAGAGAATGACAGCACTATCAAATTTCAACAATGAGAAACGAAAGATCAATTCAAAAGGAACTCCGTAATTTTCAAGAAAATGTCAACTGTAATATTTTAAACATTATTTAATCATTTTATTATTATATTATATAAACATTATTATATTATCTATGTCTGTATACATGAAAAAAAATGAAAACAATAATAATAATTCATTTTGTTTTAAATTTTCACTTCAATAAGTGTTTTCTTGTTTCCAAATCTGATATAAATGTACATACTTTTAAGTGCGGCCCGCGAGATTATAATGTTTTTCCGAAGTGGCCCTCAAGGTCATTTGGGTTAGACACCCCTGATCTAATCTATCGATGAAGTGCAAATAGATATGTATAAATCTAGAGGACACACACACATTGTTCTTTTACAACAAAATTTTTATTCAGAATTTAAATTTGAATACTGGTTACTGTAAGTTTTGTTGTCTTTTGTTAATAATATCTCGAAGAATAAAAATTCTTGTAAAAAAGAAAAGCTTCTTGCAATTATCCTTGAAAACCCGAAGCCAAATAAAATTAAAAGATTAAATAGTGTAAACAATTCTCTAGCACTTTTCATTTTTTGTGTGTGGGCAGAACACAGATTAAGTTGAAGCTGTTTTGAATAACATTTAGCGACTCAGAGCTGATCGCTTTACTGATTTATTTTTTTAAATAGCAATGACTTGGAACGAACTAATCGCGCGTCAGATAATGTGTTAACAAAGTGTTATAATAGTTTTTTTTTAAAAAAAAAGAATACGGTATACCATAAAATTGTACATTGCTGCTCTATTAAATGCAAATATATATATATATATATATATTTGAGGTCAAGTGTTTATTCATTGTATGTAGAATTTTTTTAAAAAAAAGTCGAATTGTTTTTAAAA